CTTGAGGACCAACGCAAAACCGCCTTTCAGACCAGGTACGGTCTGTACAAGTTTGTGGTGATGCCCTTTGACCTATGCAATACTCCTGGAACATTCCAGCACGCAATGAACAAGATTTTTCATGAGTACTTAGACAAGTTTATCATCGTGTACCTCGACGATATTCTTATCTTTAGTAAGACTGTAGAGGAGCACGCTGAGCACTTAAAAATAATGTTAGGTCTCCTAAGACAGCACCAGTACGAGGTAAACTTGGAGAAATGCGAGTTTGGCCGCACCAAGATCTTGTATTTGAGTCATGAAATCTCTGTGGATGGGTTGAGGTCGGACGATGCCAAAGTGGCCAGCATACGGGACTGGCCCAGACCTCAGACAGTTACCGAGGTCCGATCGTTTTTGGGGATGATGGGCTACTATCGTCCATTTGTTAAAAACTATAGTACTATAGCTTCCCCATTAACTGATCTAACTCGACTTGAAACCCCTTGGGATTGGACTGAAGAGTGTGAAGCAAGCTTCAGGAAACTGAAGGATGCTCTGACACACTACGGAGTTCTTAAACTTCCGGATCCTAACAAGCCATTTGTCGTGACCACAGACGCCAACCAATAGGGCATAGGTGCGGTCCTTGCGCAAAAGGAGGGGCCAAAGTTGAGACCTATCGAGTATATGAGTAAGAAGATGTCGTCTCAAAAGCTAGCAAAGTCCACATATGAGTGTGAGCTCTATGCCCTCTACAAAGTGCCGGTCCATTGGAGACACTACCTCCTAGGCAGATTCTTCTACTTGAGAACTGACCATGAGACCTTGCGCTGGATCAAGACACAACCTATACTCTCTTACGCACTCAAACAGTGGATTCAAGTGATAGACATGTATGACTATCAACTTGATCCAATCAAGGGAGAATACAATAAAGTAGCTGATGCACTATCACGTCGGGCAGATTACCTGGGCGCGCTAGTAACTGAATTTGGCATATCTTACGATCTAACTCGATCGTTGGTGGAAGCCTATCAACAAGATTTCGTTATGTCTGAGATCATCCGTAAGTTCAAAGAGAAGGATAAAGTAGCTTCTGACGAATTTATGATGGTTGATGGCTTGCTGTTTCTTGAAAAGGCAGGGAATAAAAGATTGTGTGTTCCTAATAGTGAGTCTTTGCGTAGTTTATTTTTAGGGGAATGCCATGATGCAACTAATAATTTTGGCTATAGAAAGACATCAGCTAACCTAGTGCAAAAGTTTTGGTGGCCTGCAATGATGCAGGATGCAAAGAGAGATGTAGAGACCTTCTTAGTTTGTCAACGTGACAAACCAAGGACGCAGACACCTTTGGGATTGATTAAACCCCTGCCTATCCCTGCTGGACCTGGGCAGAGTGCGCCCCTGGATTTCATGGATACTATCGTGACCAGCAAGAGTGGAAAAAGGCATATATTTGTCATTGTGGATAGATTTACTAAATATGCAAGACTAATTGCTATGCCTGAAACAACTAGAACTGACCACATCATCAAGCTCTTTACAGATAACTGGGTACGTGACTTCGGTCTACCTACGTCTATAGTTAGTGACAGAGACGTGAGATTCACCAGTGAACTGTGCCAAAGCATCAGCTAACCTAGTGCAGAAGTTTGGTGGCCTGCAATGATGCAGGATGCAAAGAGATATGTAGAGACCTGCTTAGTTTGTCAACGTGACAAACCAAGGACACAAGCACCTTTGGGATTGATTAAACCCCTGCCTATCCTTGTTGGACCTGGGCAGAGTGCATTCATGGATTTCATGGATACTCTCGTGACCAGCAAGAGTGGAAAAAGGCATATATTTGTCATTGTGGATATATTTACTAAACATGCAAGACTAATTGCTATGCCTGAGACAACCAAAACTGACCACATCATCAAGCTCTTTATGGATAACTGCGTACGTGATTTCGGTCTACCTACGTCTATAGTTAGTGATAGAGACGTGAGATTCACCAACGAACTGTGGCAAAGCACAACCCAACAGATGGGCACCCGACTCCAAATGACATCAGGGAACCACCCTGAGTCAAATGGCCAGGCTGAACAGATGAATCGTGTAGTACAGCACCTGCTTCAGCATTACATCAAGCCAAGTCAGGATGACTGGGACGAGAAGTTGCCTCTCATCGCCAGCCTGCAATAACGTTGTGCATAGCACTACTGGTATGAATCCCAACCAATTGCATCTCGGTTGGAAGCCCAAATCAGCATTGGACTTTCTATTACCTGAACAGCAGCAAAATGCATCACCTGGCAGCCTAGAGTTCGCTGTCAAATACGAACAGATGCTGCAACAGGCTGTAGAGCACATTAAGGAAACTCAAGATGCCATAATTTCATCTGAGAACAGGCACAAACGACAGTCTAACTTTCAGGTAGGTGAACGAGTCTGGGTAAAATCATCTGAACTAGGTCAAGAGTTGGGAATTTCACGCAAATTAATGCCACAGTACTTTGGGCCCTAGGAGATCTTAGACATTGTAGGGGATCAACCAGATAGACCGTCATACATGATTCGCATTCCTGCACACTTACGTACTTACCCTGTTTTCCATGCATCCAAGTTGGCACCTTTCGCTGTCACTGATCAGTTTCCTTCAAGGAGATCAATGCTGCCCCCACCCATGGATGGACACGTGGACATTGACGATATCGTCGAGCACAAGCTGATGCCTGTACCCAAACCTCCAGGAAGGGGTCGACCGCCAAAGTCACAGATGCAATACCGAGTGCGGTTCAGACATCACATTGATCCTCAAGAAGACCGGTGGTTCACAAGAGAGGAATTACTGAAGACTGCTCCCCAAATTATCTCAAGTTACGAGAGAAAGCTGAAAGGGAAGCAACCTATTACATAAGAACTTCTCAGAGGACTATCGAAGTAAAGGAGGAGGGAATGCGAGGATCTGGGTCCTCGACAGGCCTAAGGGGCCCCTGTTGCATCTGCGCCCGCCCTAAGTGAAGGTGGGTCTAATAGATCACGAGAAGCCCTCGGCTGTCAATTTCGTATTTGGGGTCCAGGCAGTTTCGTCGCGCCAGTTGGTTGAAGAAAACACAGGCCGAGCAGCGAGGAAATTCCACGGCCTTCTAGGCTTTTCCGAAAGTGCAGGCGCTGGGCGAGATTCACAGCCTCCTACACAGACAGTGGGAGGCCCAACCAAATGAGGCCCAGTAGCTGCGCCAGAGGCGCAGCGTCCTGGGCCCTACCAGAAGCTTCTGGGCCCAGGCCCAGGCCAGCCAGGCTGCGAAGGTAGGCAGGCTCTTTCCATACAGGAAAGAGCTCGCTGCCTGCGCCGATATTCAGCACTTGCATGCTGGCGGCAGTGCTGCTGGAGCGGATGCTCGTGGGCTGCTGCTGGCGCTGAGAGGCAAGGTGCTAGTGCGTGCGGTCGTGCAGGAAGCAGGGCGCTGCTGAGGGCAGCGCCATAGCACAGCCTCCATAGCTGGATGGGCTTGGACTACAGTGAGGCGCAGGGGTGGTCTTCGGGTGTACAGAAGGGAGACGTGGGAGTAAGTCAGGGGAGAGAGAGAAGGATGATGATGATGATGATGTGAGGGCACATACCTGGTATTGGCGATGGTCTGCATTGGGGACATCTTCAAGTACTTCGTGATCTGCTGACGTCAACAGTTGCATTGTCAATTAGTAGGCAGACTGTAGCTGTGTAGGAAGTAGGCTGGGCGCCAAGCGCCAAGTAGGGAGATAGGGCCTGGACACTCATGTTGGTGGTGGCTTGAGCAAGCTCTCATTGACATTGGTTTTCAGTGTTACGATTCTTCATTGGTGTTATATTGGTGCATTTCTGCTTTCTGGACACTGTGATACTATCTGGCCTTCAATGTGATTGTGCATTCTGGACATTGTCATCTCGCTAATGCTCATTTTCCTTGCAAAACTGAAAAAGAAGAAGTTTACAGGGAGCACTGATGGGACAGATGCTCAAAAGTCTCTCTCAGACTGGGACATGGGGCTGTTTCGATGAGTTTACTTGGATACCAGTGGAGGTTCTCTCAGTCATCTCCACTCAGCTAAAGATGGTCCTGGATGCACTCAGGGCCCAAAAGGAGCGCTTTGTCTTTATAGATGGCAAAGTCCCCCTTCTGAACTCAACATGCACATTTGCCACAATGAATCCTAGGTATCCTGGAAGAACTGAGCTCCCTGAGTCTGCGAAGGCACTCTTTCGACCTGTTTCCATGGTTGTCCCCGATTTTCACTTGGATTGCGGAGATCATGCTTCTCAGCGACGGATTCCAAACCAGAAAGCTGCTGTCTGGAAAACTCATTATGCCTTACTCGCTATGCCAAGACCTGCTGTCCAAGTAGCATCACTACGATTGGAAGCTCAGAGTATCAAGACTACACTGAATGTTGCAGGGTGAATGAAGCGTGATGCACTCAATGTCAAAGAAGACAAGGTGTTGCCATGGGCCCTCAGAGATTTCAACACAGGAAAGCCAATCTTTGACGATGTGGAGATCTTTTTGGGGTTACTGAATGACTTGTTCCTGAAGACTCTGCAACTGGTTCCCTGTGGTAGATACTCGCTTTGAGGAGGATGTGAAAAAGGCCACATGGGAGCAGAAACTGCAGCCGGAAGCAAAGTTCTTACTTAAGGTCACATAGCTCCGAGAGCTTTTGGAGGTGTGATGGTCTGTGCTTATTCTAGGGCCAGTCGGATGTGAGACGTCCACTGTCTGGAAAGTTCTTGCAAAAGCGCAGGGTCTTCATGGAGGGAACGGGGTGTTGTAAGCAGTAGAGTGGCCTTGTCGTCATGATCTGTTGAGATTCGGCCCCTTTTTCCAAAGATTAAGAAGAATAAGAATAATAATAAGAAGAAGATTACAGGAAGAGTGCGAGGATCTAAGGGGGGGAGGGGTAGGGGGCAAAGGAAAAGAACTGAAAAAGAAAAGGAAGAACTAGGTGCAGTACACCCATGCAACCAAGAGACAGAACTCTGTACTCACCAGTGACTGCTAGATTGCTCTCCCCGTAACAGGCTGCAGCGCGGGGAATCTGTGGCGCAGTTATCCTGCACATTCACCGAAACCATCAGAATTGCACAGGACTGAATAAAATTGATGCTCATTCACATCTGCTGACATCAAACAGGTAATCAATCACACACCCTTGATTAGGACTGCAGGACACCTGCCAACAATATGTGAGTACACAGATGATGTTCCAAGTATGGGAGGTCCTCAGGTGTATCTTGGGGAGTCATTTTCAGATCACCCGCGTGGTCTACACGCTGCAGGGTAATTTGCAAGTCAGTCAAATGATGTTCCAATCCCGGGATGTTCGGGGCTGTATCTTGAGCGGGATTGCACCCCGAGTGGGAACCGCAGACCTGAGTGGAGACCACATCTTGAGTGGGAGCTGCATCCTGCTCTGCAGGTGACTTGTGAATCTCCAATGCTGCAGTGCATGAAACACATTCCTGTGACTGCACATGGGAAGGGGATAGTCCGCAAGGGACAGTGGAGTGGACATTCTCGTGTGGAGTAAGGCACAGAGACACCCAGGGAAGACAAGGAAATGGGCTGCCTATCCATGAACGAGCGACAACGCGGTGCATGCCGTCGACAGGATAAATACAACTTTTAGCCTGACAAGCTGCAGATGAACATATCTCCAGCAATGAAGGTAGAATAGTATGGACAGGAGAGTATGTTCGCAAATGCGACTGCAGAGAAAATTGAGGCAGTGGGGAGAAACTATGCCTTCTGCGCCAGAGCACAGAAAAAGAGGCGAGGGGGGTTGATCAAGTAATTCCAGGTCTGAGAGGAAAAGGAGTGTTATGGCAAGCTAACAGTTAATCCTCCACTAAGATGGAGCAATCAACGCTGTTCAGGGGTCCTCCGGCCTTACGGAAGGAAGCGTGTGGGGTTTACTTTATAATGCATCGCTTCATCTAATAACCYTCCACTAAGATGGAGCAATCAATGCTTTTTAGAGGTCGACTTCATGTGAAAGGAGGTACTCCAGGATGGGCCCTGAAGAGCTTTCAACATCGACGCACAACAGGCAACAGCCTGCTATCTCTCATGGACCAGATGCAAAAGTTCAATCGAGCCTAGGGTTTAGGGTTCAGGGTTGAGGCTTTTTGTGTTGACAGAAACAAGACGTACAGGGTCTAGAATGTTAGGAATTTCAGGAGGACCAGCAGAAGGTTGTGTGGGTTTTGACTGAGCCGGCAGAAGCCACAGCTTCTCAGTCCTTTCTTGCTAGTCATGTTGTATCTGACAGGTTCCCCTAGTAGTCCAGAGAGGGAAGATGGAAGCAAGGCAAGCTGACAGTCAATCCTCCACGCTGCTGGAGTAATCAATGCTGATCAGGGTTCCTTTGGCCAGACGGAAGGAAGCGAAAGGGTATTCTATGATGTAATGATTTTTCCTGAAAAAAAGAAGTAAAAAAAAAAAAGTAAGGGTTTGATATAGATGATGCAAGAGTCATTTAGGCGGAGGCTGCATTGTTCCTGGTGCAGGTAGTGAGACTGGGGTCAACTGGCCACTTGAGGAAACCATAGGGGTAACCGCAATGGCGTGAGCAGCAGAGCAAAATGCTCGGAAAGAGGAGGAGAAGGGGTTCGATAAAGTAAGGGTTTGATATAGATGCTGCAAGAGTCAGGTAGATGGAGGTTGCATTCTTCCCTGCACACGTAGTGAGACCGGGGTCAACTGGCCGCTGGAGGAGACCGTAAGGGTAATGGTGTGAGCAGCAGAGGAAACCCTGGGTGAGCCACTGAAGAGGAAGCCAGAGCAGCACCAACAGCAAAAGAAAAGCACTGCAGGAGAGGTGACCACAGGTCTATTGCTAGCAGATGAGCAAGCAGGGGAAAGATGAGAGCGCCGTGGGCGCAACAAAGGAGGAAGTGGATACAGACGCTGAGAGAGATGCAGCATGTGTCCGGACCAGTGAGAGTGACACATCACATGCATATGATACCAGCCCTGGCGAGAGCATATGTAGCAGGTCCAGCCCTTAGAGCAAGGGTCGATAGAGGATGGCCATGAGAAAGCATGTGCGGAGTAAGCTGCTGCCCCAGTTTGGAAGTTCCACCAATTGTTACCCAAATCTGGTCAATTGACCAGTGGCGTAGGTGACAGAATATGTATCAGGTCAGCCTTTAGCAATGGTCAATGGAGGATGCCCATAAGAAAGCATGTAGGAGTAAGTGTTGTTGCTGCAGTTATGAAGTTCCGCCAATTTTTGTAGAATTGCTTAAATCTGGTCGACTGCACAGTGAACAGACCAGCCGGTTGATGGGAAGGGACATTGGAGATTGCTCTTGGATAACGGATGACAAAGAAGTCCCATGCAACCGGTTTATCAAAGACACTCATGTGATGGGAGCCATGAGAGCTGACCCGCAGCTGCATTCCTGAAAAGGTACAACAGCCAGCTGTTGCTGTAGTTTCCTTCCACTCAAGGCCATATCGCTTTTGTCGAGGTATAATTGTTCCCATGAAAGAACATCGTTTACGAGGCGATAAGTGACGGCATACTGCTGAGTGAGTCAAAGATCATGCTGACCAAGGTCATCAACAAAGTGCGCCTTGTTCGATGAGCTGTTGATGAAGCTTTTGCCCTGTTACCCATAACATCGCACAAATTCATAGAATCAAGATCTGAACGGTTAAAAGGGTTGCCTTTCAATCCCCTGCCAACTCATGGAGCCCGATTGACAAGATACATCCCCTGTCCGAAACTACTCTCCTCATTTAATTTTCTACCACCCCTCCTTCCTTCCCCCATCCAGAAACAAGAGGATCCGGGCTGTACGCAGTAGGCGGCTACTAGGCACAGTACGGCCCCGCTCTCAGATTTTAAAAATACACAGTCGATGGCCCTCTGCCGGCTGTACTGTGGACCATTAACCGGTCAGTCAGACCGGTTGGCTGTGGACCAGTTGGGTATCAGCATCCGTGGTCGGCTGGTATGCTACCCTGCTCATATTACAATTTACTACCCAGCATTACTCCCCGCTGGAATGCCGACAATCTGCTTCCAAAGTGTGCCATCTCCACTGTGCAGATGGGTGTTTTATCCAGCCAAACAGAGATGTTGATGAATCTGAGAAACAGAGAGGGTGTCCAGGCATGATGCAGCTGTCCATTGGCCACATAATAGGAACCACCCAACAGGCCCGAAAAACAAATTCCTCAAGGATTCCAGATCTGCAGGCTTGTGAAACAACTTCCTCGGCACTTCAAAAATTCCAACGAAGCATATGAACCATACATGTGGCGCATCACATGCGCCGAGGTTGCGCACGTGCAGCGCACCCACGTGATGCAGCGCAAGTACGGAAAGTAGGGTCGGTTAAAAAAACTTAAAAGGGCAGGCTGTGGTAGCCAAATGTGCCCCTCCCTTCTAAAAACTAAGTGCACAGAAAAAATAAATTTGGGGCCACATTGTACTCCTCATTGGATCTCTCTTTTCCAAAGGGCCCCCAGCACAGAATTAGCGAGGGTCCCATTTCTTTGGAGAGATGTTCATCGAAATGATGGTGAGACATGAGCAGGCCAGCAATATATTCTGGATTCGAATTCAGGTCTGTGTTCCAGCAGTTATGGCTTACTAACTTCCTACTAACACTACAGTAGCTCTCTCGTTCCTTTGTTCTTCCTTTTCTTACGTGCAGTGGCCCTGCTCCACTAGTCACCACTTGCACAAAAGATGACACATATGGCGGCGTATGGTTCCAGTTTCTAGGAGAAGATTCATTCTAGTTTTGCACATTTGGCGAGTAGTGGAGTGAAGGCCTGAAAATCGCATGCCGAGTTAGTAAGTTAGTAACCCATAAGTGCTGAAACATGGACCTGAATTCGAAGCTACACCATATATAACTGGCCTGCTACTGCCTTACTATAAGTCCAGTGACTGTTGTTTTCTTGGCGAGGAAACCCTTGCTAATTTTTAGCAAGGGCCTTTCGAAGTACAGACAAGAGTTTTCTGAATAATGTGAAAGGGCTCCTTGCTCTCTCTCTCTCTCTCTCTCTCTCTCTCTCTCTCTCTCTCTCTCACACACACACACACACACACACACACACACACACATGCGCGCGCGCGCGCATACACACATCATGGCCGCTTTTTTTTTTTTTTTTTTCCAGGCTGTATTCCCGGGCGCCCGGGCACCCAACTTATGCCTGGGTACCCGCCCGGGTGCCCGGCTGGGCATGAACCCCGGGCAGGGTTCCGGGC